AAAAAAAAAAAAAAAAAAACAGATTGAACCACCGCCAGCCACCGGCGAAAGGAAGAAGTTTTAACGCTTGTAAAAAGCAGAAGTTTACGCGAGCCTGCCTGTTGCTTATGGTTAACCCATTATTCCCCGCGTAGCTTCCTCGAGAACTTCGCGGTTCGCTTATCGATTTACAAATGCAACACCATCGAGTCGATCTAGCCGCGGGCAGGGGAAAGAAGTAGCACGTAGAAAGAAAGTTCCCGCGTCGAGCTTCCTTCTTATTTACGCGGCGCCACTTGAAACTTCTTGGAACGAGTAGCAAAGCAGAGTGGAACTAAAAGTGAAGTGATTCGACGATATTGGTCATTTGTAAAAAAAAAAAAAAAAAAAAAAAAAAAGAAGAAGGAACCTTTGTTCCAAGCTTCGAGTTCGAATAACTCGATTGGTAGATCGTGGATGTTTGTGAGATTTGGAAGAGAATGGAAGTAATAAAATGAGAATGAAAAGAGGAATAAAATAGCAACTAGCATGGCACTGCTATCGTAATACGTGAATGTTGTAAATTTATTATAATTCGTTAGAAATTCAAACACAGAAAGATAAGAATAGAAGATGATAATAAATTACAGATAAGAGTGACAATATAATAAATAATAACAAGATTATAAAAAAATATGAAAAGAAAAATAAAATAAATAACATGCGTGTTATCCATGCTTGTGTCCCTCCATGAACTATAATTTCGTAAATATTTAATTCAAAAATAAAAGAAAAAAGTAACGGTAAAGGAAAGATAATAAATAATAAAGAGAACGTTAATAGAATAAATAGTGAATAAGAATAAAAAAAAAGAAATAAAATATTAGTATGATACATACGTCCTAATTTTATTATAATTATAAAATTTATAAATTCACGAATAAAAAAAAATAGATAATAATAAATTATAATAAGAATAATATGATGAAGAACAATAATAAGAAAGAAATAAAAAATTGCAATTGTTAAGTGTCCTTTATGAAATTCCAATACTGCAATTAATATAATAAACGAATCGACGCGATAGATACAGAGAATACAAGATGTGAATCAATATGCCACGAGATAGCAAGAATAGACGAAACATCATTCACGCTACGTATCGATCTAAATTTATTAACATTTTATTTATGGAGCGAATTCAATTCAAAAATATAATTTCAGCTGTTGTTGAATTAAACTGTCATCAACTCGAGCTTCATTCTTTTTGCGGAGAAGTTCGAAAAATTGCCAAATCCTGCCATGTTTATTCCAACGCGTGTAATTGAATAAACGAAAAGAAAGAAAAAGAACAAAATAAAACACGTTAGCGATATACATCGTTCCCGAAGGTTTCATCCACGCGTTTGCTTGTCGATTCAATCTGGTGTTAAAATCAGACAGATTTGCAGCGTGATAATATTCGATCGAAGCTTTATCTCCAACGGGACGTGACGATGAAAACGAAAGACAGAAAATTGAAAGTTAATACACTCGCGTGCACGAACACGCATCTATTTTCTTTTTTTCTTTTTTTTTTCAATTAACATCAATTCATTTCACGGGGAGAAATGAAATTTTTAATTTTAATTTTGCATTTAATAAATTGATTCTGAATCTGACTTTAATTTATTTTAAATACACAGCTGGGTCGTTTGAGTCTTATATTATGACGATTTAACGTACAGAGAGCAAATTGAACGAAGCACGTGCATTTCAAAACATTATTCTCAACAAACCGTTTTAATATTGCCAAAGTTAATATTAACTTTCCTATCACTGTTCGTGATTTTTTTTTTTTTTTTAACAGGAATTAACAAATTGGGTATTAATTTGTTTTGCGTGGAATAAAATGGAAAGAAAAGGCACGGAAGTTTCGTGAAAATTATTATAATAATATTGACGAAAAGAAACTTGTCATCATGAAATAATAAATAATAATTAAATAAACTAAATAATTTATAACAAGACGTAGAATATTTTAGCCTAAAGATATATCGCATCGTTGCAATTGTGTCACGTTGACGCATTACATTCATGAACTAAATTTCAGTAGTAAGAGTCAAGAATATCAGCTACCTAAGCCTAATCTAAATAATAATAATAACCAACGAAATACGAAACAACTTTCGAATTCTTCATTTCAATAATATCTTCGTATAAGTTGCATTGCATCGACAGATGTCGTAAGATTTATTCAATTGGCAAATTAATAGCAAATTTCAATAATGTGACGAGAACCAAGAAAATCAACTTGACAATCTCTATAAAATTATGTTACGTTGATGGAACAAATTTCGTTCAAAAGGAACAGTGGTCAGTTAATCATTTACACGAATTTTTTGTTGAATCTGACCTTTAAAAACTCAAAGCAAAGAATTCCAATGAAATTGGCCAGAGAATTTGATAAACGAGAAGACGTGAAAATAACTTTCGTTCAAAGAAAGAAAAAAAAAAAAATTACTCGCAGAGCTATTACAGCGAATTATCCCTTTTACAGCAAGAATAAAGAACGTGTCATTTTTAACGCTGGAATTACCAAAATGGTCAAAATGGCCAATTTATAATTTTTGTTGGATATGTTTTTCACGTAGTCATGCGAAACAACGTGTTCTCCTAATGATCTAAATAACTTTCTTATGAAATTTAAATAGCCTTGTGTTATATAGTTTTTGCCATTTTTTTTTTTTTTTTTTATTTCTCTGATGGAGGAATTTTACAATCGTCAATAGTTATAATACTGATATATGGATGTTTAAATTTCCACAAGTTTTTATTCTATTTTTGTGTTATTGTTAAATGGAAATTCGTATAATACGCAAAAATATATAAAATGTCCGAAGATGATTTAAATAGAGGATATTTATTATGAGACTTAGCAGATAAAAGAAATTTTCACGAAAATTGATTTCTCTAGTTACATTCATACTGGAGCATTCTCTAGCATAGTTAAGGAAATTTTCAAAGAAAACAAGCGTGTAAAATAAAAAAACAAAAAAAAAACAGATCAAACCAAAAATGAAACACAAATAAACACGTAGGAATTCCGTAAAAAATATATGTTTAGTATATCCTCATATTTCAACGTATAACGTTCATGCGAATGTTTTCTCTCACAATAATATTTTCGTCTTTATTCAAGACGAAATGTACGCTCCACGGAGATTATTAAATTTTCCTGCGAGATAAAATACACAAATGTGCAACAATATATTC